AGACACCAGTACCTTTGCTGAATCAGTGATGTTATCCCAGTAGGGAGAAGGAAATTCCAGCTTCCCAACAAGTATCTGATCAAAGAGGTCTTCCTGAAGGTTGTTTTCACTGTAGAACAGCAGTAATGAAAAAAAAAATCATGAGAAAGAAGTCAATTTGTCATGGAAAGGTTTAACTTGATTTGAGGGTGGAACAGAAATTATCTCAACTGCCAGAAATGGATAATTTGCAAGGTTATATAGTGGCAGCACTTCTGAGTTGTGCTATCAGGAGTGATGAGGACAGAAAAACCAATATTTTGAGGTCAAAAAGTAGCTATTGAGGTGAAGACTTCCACTGGAATAGAGACTGCATAGCAGGGAAAGTGATTAAAAAGTCACTTGCCAGCCTAGTTCTGAAGGACCTGCTACAGAAAGCACATAACAGGGGGAAGAATGGAGTGAAATGAGCAAAGGACCTGCTACAGAAAGCACAGGGGGAAGAATGGAGTGAAATGAGCCTCTTCTGTTCAACCATCACAACAGGATTGTTTTCAAGAAGCCCAAAGGGCAGGGATGGAAAACACATGATACATTTCAGTTCACTGAGTATTGACAGGCTACTGACATCACCAAGGTAAGTACCTTTGTGCCAAAACCTTGGCATCCTGAATGCTCAGGCACTGACTGCAGCATCCACTGACCCCCAGCACCATCCCCTCCCTGCTCCTGCTGCTCACACCATTCCTGATACAGAAATTGTTTATATTCTGTTCTTTGCAAAATAGTCTTATTCAGTCTGGTGATTTTTTGGTAAAAATTCAGTATTTTGCTATAAAAATGGACAAAAACATTGTGCACAAATAATTTATAAGTCAAGAGGTGAATTCCCTATTAAAATGTCCCAATTCCTTCTCATTCTGCTCACACCATTCCTGATACAGAAATTGTTTATATTCTGTTCTTTGCAAAATAGTCTTATTCAGTCTGGTGATTTTTAGGTAAAAACTCAGTGTTTTGCTATAAAAATGGACAAAAACATTGTGCACAAATAATTTATAAGTCGAGAGGTGAATTAAAATGTCCCAATTCCTTCTCATTCTTTGGAAAATAAATTGCTGGGGCACAAAGCTTATCCATTTGATTTTTAGTAGACCTCATACACGCCCTGACATTGAGCAGCAAGAATCCTATTTGCAAACTCTTTTGTTTATAGGACACTTATAAAAAAGATTAACAAGGTTAAAAGTGTGACAGAAGCAAATTCTCCCTTTGAGTTTAGGATTGACCTTCATCCTCAGCTCTACAGCAGCAAGCTGCTGTGTCCAAAGGGAAGCACTAGAGGGCAAGGAATACACGTTCTCTGAGCTGGGGAACACCCAGAGACAAAAGGAAAAGAAAGGATGAGCTCACAGCACCCCCCATCCCTCCACACACCAGGGAACCAGCTGGTCCTTAGGAAAACACCTCAATAAAATTGATCCCAAAACCTTGACAATAAGGACAACGTTTTTTTTAAAAAGAAAAAAAAAAAAAAGTTAAAGAAAATGTGTCAATCCAATCAATTTTTTTCTCAGGTAAGACTTCCTCAGATTTTGGCCCTTTCCTGTTCTTTCTTTCCACCAGCCAGGGACACTCACCTGCGGAAGGGTGGAAAGCCACAGAGCAGGATGTATGTGATCACACCTGCAGCCCAGATATCCACCTTCAGGCCATAGCTGAGGAAATAAGACTGTGTTACTTCTGCTGGATTAAAAAAAGAAACACCCCAACATTCCAATCAAACAATTGATTATATTTACATTAATTTATATTGAGAATCTACTCTACGTTACTTGCTGATGATGTGGAAATGTATTTTATACCCAAGCACCATTTGACTTAGCACAGTCTTCAGGAAAACATGAAAACATCATTTTTCATTGATTATTTTTTTTCCCCCCACAACCCTCCAAACTCTCCAGGGTCTTCTGAACAGACTCAGATCCAATTCAGTGTCAAGGTTCCCCAGTTCAGGATCAGTGATGATAAAAGAGAAGGATGTGGTTTCTCACTCCCCGTGTTGGAGTCCCTCTCTCTGAGGTTATCATGTGTTGCTAAGCAACAACAGACCAATTCTCCAGCCTCTTGAGTGAGCATCCCAGGGAAAAAGAGAAAAAGAACTGCACTTTTCTTTTTAAGCACAGAAATTGAACCACTAGAGGTCAAAGAAGAGGTCTTTGGTCCTGTTCTTTTCTAGTTTTTGTAACAGCCAGGAGGCCACCTGCCAAAAATTGCTGGTTTCAAGCCCTGTGTCTCAGGCAGACATCCTCACCCTGTCTCTGCAATAATTTCTGGAGCCACATAGGTGGGGGTACCACAGACAGTATACAAAGGTCCTTCAACCACAGTCGCCAGCCCAAAGTCTCCCAGCTTCAGAGATTTGGTTCCATCTGGATATTCACAAACCTGGAAGCAGCAAAATAAAAAGAGGAGGAGGAAAAGGACAGCTGCAGTTTTAAAATCCTTTAACCTCTTTGGAAATAATAAATCATCACACCAAGAAGACAGCAAAAAGAGGTGAGTTCTTTTACAGGGCAACTTCCCCAGCCCTGTAGGGAGAGAAGAGGAACATGGTGTGTGGGGAGAAGAGGAACAGTAATAGCAAGAGTAAATCAAACCAGACCAACAGCAGAGGAAACATCCCCAATGAATTAATCATGGTTTTGTTCTTAAAGTAAAAGGTTTGTGTTAATATGATTACAATGGGATCTAGTTTCTCGAATGCAGGACTCCAGAAGCTCCAGAATGGCTGAATTTATTGGGTTTCCTCAAACAACTGAACTCCACTAAGGCATTCAGTATCTTCCTTCAATCCCCTCTAATTCACACTGTGAATGGAAGCACTGGATCTCCTTGACACAACAATTTCCTATTTGCAATTCCTCTTAGAGGTTATATTTTTAAAGGCACAACTAGTATAAGAGAATCTAATTCAGGCAGCTGGATGGCCCTGTGCAAAACAACAAACCACTTGAAGTTATAGGTAGCAATTGATGGGAATTATCTGCATCTGTATTCAATAGTCTGTTATCTTCACGTTCTGCCACTGTCAATCCCAGTGAACAAGATTTGCATCAGTTGAGTAATCTCTTTAGGCTTTCTAGGCAGAAAGGACATTTGTGCCTATTTATAACTGATTTAATCACTAATGAGAGCTTAAAATTTCTTTGGACTGGCTGTGCTTGAAGATGAACTGATAAGAAGAGCAACTTCCACCTTCATTTTCTTTCTCTAAGTGCCATGTTGCTGTGATTACATCCTCCAGAAGCCACATCCCACCCCACCACCACCTACCCCTTCTCTAAACAATCTCATTTATTTCAGGCCTCATTGAAATGGCTAAACACTGTCAGTGGAATTAGTTGGGCAAGAATTCACTATTAATTGGAAAATATTTTCAGCTTATCCTTGCAACAGGTCAAAATCCAGCCTGGGATAAGCCCTGACTCCTGCTCTAGGTGCAACCTCATTAAACAGGATTGACAAACACCACAGAGGGCTTTAGGAAATGCCAACCAAGTGTGGATGAAAGCTTCCTTCTAGTCTTCCTGATGACAGGAGCTCAAGCAGAGGAGATTATGGCCCTGTTCAGAGCAAGACACAAGCTATCTAACACCCAAGGCAAGTGTAAGCTCTGTGTGTAGGCAGGCCAGCCTGCTTGCCTCTGCTCTGCCCTGTGAAATGTGTCCCAGCAGCTCCCAAAGCAGACTGCATGGTAATTCTTGTCAGCCCAGTTATTTTATGTCTCTGCTGAAAACAAAAGGAGTCAGTCCCTTAAGACAAAATAAATGTATGGACAGAGTTAATTCATGGCTAGAATACTGGTAAATCATCAGGAAGATGTCCCTGCTATGACACTGAAAGAAGAGAAAACAAACTGCTTGAGATAACCAAAGAAATGGTGCTCAACCCACCTTTTCTCCCTCTTGCAAGCTACTATAAATAATTCACCCACACAGCTTTACAATTCATTGTTCTGTGAGACAATAGCCCTGCTTATCCAAATGGCAGCTAATCAAAATGTAAATAAAGAGAGGTCTAAGGACAGGTTTGAGCACAGCTCACTTGAGTTATGGTGATTGCTATCTCATGGCAGAAGATTTATTCCATACCTACTTATGCTAAATTAATATTCCTCCTGTTCTCTGCTCAGCTCCTTGACATTTATACACAAGCATCTGCATTAATGGGAACAAAGTAAGAGGAAATATTTAAAAAGGAATGAGACCTACCAGGAGGTTTTCTGGCTTGATGTCTCTGTGCACAATGTTGAGACCATGCAGGTATTTGAGTGCACTGGCCAGGTTGTAGACCATGGCACTCCCATCCTGCTCTGTGTATTTGGTGGAAGAAGTGATGGCATCGAAGAGATCCCCCCCCTAAAGGAAGGGAAAGATAACAGATCACTACATGAAAAACAACTCAGAAGATAGATGATATTTAATAAAAGAGCCACGTGCCATTTTCCCTGACAAAAGTCATGCCCAAATGCCTCTTAAAGAGTAAAAAATTATTATTTTGCAGAAAGATGATCTTGCCACCAAGAGACCAGACCAGGACTTGGGTCAAATGTGTTAAATATACTCCAGGCTTCTGGTGTCTGAGTTTGGGCAAATCACAGCTCTTTTCTGTGTTGTTTTCATTCTATTATATCTATCCTATCATATCTTCCTACATTTGATCACTCATTTACCTACAGGTACAGGAATAGTTTCCCTTTCCTTCAATACAATACCTTTACACAGCAAAACCCAGCCTTTATTTTGAGTAGAGCCTAGAGTAATATAAATTAGCCCAAAAGCCTAATGCAACATTGACCAGTTGCAATGACCTGCAAATTGGGATTTCTGTAGCTATGACAGAAATAGCAAATAAATCTGGCTGACAAAGCCAAACAATGCAGCATGATCTTTTCCAACCTCAATGATTCCACACCACCCTGCAGTGCAGAACCTGCTGGTGAATTCTGAGGGTGCCAGTTGTGCAGTCTCTGAATATGTTCCTGAGGGGATAACATAACACATGTAAAGTGAGTTTCCTCATGCAGCATTTCCAGCCAGAGCAACAAATTCCACGTGGGTGTCTCTGTGCTGGTTACCCTGGAGACATTTGTAGGAGTCATCTGGCTGAGCTGTGGGTGGCATTCCAAGCATTTAAATCCACGTGGAAGAGAAGCAGTAATTCATGGAACACAGGCCAAGATGGTGGTGTATTAAAATATATTTTAAAAAAAAAATAGTCTTAAAACCAAAAAAAGCCTCTACTATATAAGAATAACTTCTAGAGAGGAAGAGAAATGGGTAGGCTACAGAAATTATGGATTTAGCAACTACCAACTTTCTTTAGAGGTTTCCCAGCAAACATTAAGTCTAACTTAAAATCTAACAATGCTTAAATCTAACTTAAAGAATTAAATTTAACAATGCTCCAGACAGAAATAGAATTGGTGATGAAGATGATTTATTATTATTATTTATATCTGACATGCTGACCGAGCTGATGTGCAGTGTTGCCATGTATGTACAGAACACAGGAGAGCACGTGACTAAAATCTGATGCAACTTGTGTATTTGGTTCATAAGGTCACACCAAAATGAAGATTTTGGGGGGTTTTTTTCCATACATGGATGAAAGCAGCATTTATTTTATGGTGAACTAGAAATAAAGTGAATGTTTGAGAGAAGCAAAACAGGCAAGATCTTTTTTTGAGTTTTAATTTTGCCAGACTTGAATTAAATCTGTTGTATCTGTTGTCTACTACAATAAATTCATTAAAGAGGGTTTGTTTCTTTAAAATATTAAATAAAGGTATTAGTGAAATAAATGCAGGTGTTCTGTCAGTAAATATATCACTATAACCCCATGTCTGGCAAACACGACATAAAACCACTATGCATTTCTCTCTAGACTGTGCACATTCCACAGGCTGGAGGTAATAGCTTAATGTTCCTAGATATTTTCTAGATTTCACAGCACCACAGAAAATGAACAAAAAAAAGACTATTTTTTTTTACTCCTTAGTCCTACCTTGACCAGCTCCATCACCAGATAGAGTTCTGCTGCAGTGTCCATTTCCTCTATGAGCATGATGATATTTGGGTGCTTCACTCGACGCAGAATAGACACTTCATTTTCAATCAGGTGTTCCTGGTCAGGGAAGAGCACAGAAGTTGATTTGAACAGTTATTTTATAACATGGCCAAGTCACTTTTCCTTTGATCACTTCATCAGTGAGCACTCTTTTTTGATGTTTGATTTATATAGCAGGAGTTACTGCCAGACACTGGATGTGAACTTGTATTTCAGCTCAACCGTATCTCACCATTGACCCAATTTAATTTAAGATATTGTATTTCATACACTATAACAATGGGATATCTCTGAAAAAAAGGGCCCAGACCATGACAGCAAGTCAGGAAGTGCAGATTACATTCTTACGTGGGTGTTAGGAGGTGAAATTAAGGTCAGAACCCCCTGACCCTGAGCTGGATCATTGCAACCTCCCATGTTCCTGATCCTCTCCATCCTTCACCTCTCATGTAGGTTACTCCAGGACAGATTACCTCAGATTTATTTTCAAGGACTTGATTTTTTTTAAAACATTGTAGATTATACACAGGAAAAAATATTTCAACTGCTTTGGTTGTGGATTCCAGTTCATTTTATATGTATGTTCAGATTTACAATCTGCAAAACATGTAGGAGCTCAGTGAAGTCATTGTGGCTCCAACAGTTTAATGGCACACAGATTGAGTTTAATTTCCCCTTTTCTAGGCTTCTGAGGAAGTAATGGGTTTCAAGAACAAATTAGCTCCAGGATGTTTTGTTTCCTAGAACATCTTAGCACTTGGTTAACACTGGAGAGCAAATAAAATGACATGCCCCTTCCGTGTGGGGTATGTTTCTCATTTTCATGTATAACCCCCAGAATACAGATACTGGATGTAGATTCACTGCAAAATAAGTAACTATGCTTGCATAAAACACTCGTTTCCTCCCACTTGGGCAGATAACAAATCACATCACTGGGCTTGGAACTTATTCAATGCATTGATTAGCAGCATGCACTTCATGCGTTGGTGAGCAGAGCACTAGGAGTAGATGTGATCCACTGTGCACAGGCTGGGACTGAAGATCTCAGGGCACTTCACCTCCTCTTTCCAGGGCTACTTATGGGTGCAGTGTGTTTTTGCCAAAGCTGTAGGTGGCTACGTGCCTCAGAAACCACATGCCATTTGTGCCTCTCACTTTGTGAGCACGGTGGGGCAGATAGGGCTGAAACAGTCACACCTCTGAAATTCAGTTTGACAGAGCAGCAATTGTCATTCTGAACAGACATATGTCTGCTCCAAGCAAAGTGCTCTGGAGAAAAAAAAACAACACACAAACAGACAAAGATGAAGCAATTCTGTTAAACATAATGCTGAATCTCCTCAACAAAGGTGAACAGCCACAGCCTCACGGATGGAAACCTGGAAATTCAAAACCAGCATTAAGAGCCCAAGCAAAAACTAGAATCTTTTTAGAGCTTTTTCTACCTGAAGATATTAAATTTATTACAGGCATTAATTACGACTAGGGTGCACTTTTTGTTTCACTTGACTACATTAATTGCTTTAAATAAAGCACAGACATAACTAATGTTTATTTAAAATAAACAATAATAATATGTTCCAAAATGCTGTTGAACTGACAACGACTGTCCTTAAAATGACTAATATGGAGTTAGTTATTTCCAACTGATTTGGCTACATTTTGTCATGTAAAAAAGTAATAATTCTCAAACTTATTACAGTGGGTCATGCAATATAGATTTCAGTCTATATTAATATGATTTAATGACAGAGAAATTATTGTATAATTAGCACTGAAGCTGCTTTGGGAAAATACATCAGTCAATCAGATTCAGGTTGTAGGACAGCCAAGATAAACTGCTAGAGAGCAGCAAGCAACATACAGGTCATGCATATTTGGGCCAGATGGGTGTTTTTAAGGCAGGGTTTATGGTGGTGTGTGAAATGGAGAGAGGAAGGAGCCAGCTGCAGCAAAATGTAGTTATTCTCTTAGTTTGAATTCTTCCAGGACAGTTCTGCCACTGCCCTAACATATAAACAGCTTCACAAGAGTCCTCTGCTTGTGGATATACAAACACCTGTAGGTACCTATACAGACACAGGTCCTTTCAGAACAGACACACACACATCCCTGGGGCTGACATTGCAAAGCAGTGAAAATAGAAGGATTTTATTTGCTGTTATCTAGTCCAAAACTTACTCTACATTCTTGGCTGTGGTTTCTTGTTTTTTTTTTTCCTTCCATTGTTAAATTCTCTGTCTTTGGAAGGAAGGTGCAGGAGGTCTGACACTCTCAGATATTTGCTTTGATTATGTAGCATGTTTTTACACCAAAGAGACAATTTTTGACTTTTTTTGAGGGGCTTGAATTAAAAAAACAGTCTCTTTTTTTAAGAGATCTTTGTTAAACAGGATGGTGAAACTACATGAACAGAAAGAAATGGTCGCAAACTTGACTTCCAAATCCATGTTCTGCATATAAAAGGAGCATGTATGACCATAAAAAGATAAAAATAAGAGACAGGGAGGGATAGGAATCATATAAATAAACATTTAGCTGCAAGTTTCCTCTCTCATGTTTTACAGAACGAAAAATTTCTGATATATTTTGGACACATTAACATTTTCTTTGTCAGTCCAATAAAATTGATGACTGTTTCTTACTCTAGACTATTTATCACTAATGAGTAGCTGCTAGTGCTGTTCCTGCTAATTCTCTTATAGATGCTAATTATTGTATACTACCTTCCCACAGCATTTAGCCTTGTCTATGATCTTCAGGGCAAATTCTTTTCCTGTGGATCTAGCAAGAAAAAAAATATGAGAACCATTAATTAGAAACTGGCCAACAAATTGTGGCATTACCTGTAAGATCAAACATCATCATAACAGAATGCCTTGACCCATGGAGTTGCTGACAAAACACAGATCAACTGGTGGGCTTTAAATTGGTAGGCTTTAAAGATAAAATAATATACATTTATGGGTGAGCAGAAGAAAAAAAATTATACCTTAGTTGAAAAAATAAAATTCAGCAGAGCTAAAAATCTACAGTTCATTACAGACTAGTCTCAAATTCAACAGAATTCATTAGGAACCAATTCTGACCTTTTGTATTTTACTCTTTATTTTTTTTTGAAGTATTCTATGTTATTCTACAGCAGTTAGCTGAAGTCCCATGACATTTAAGAGGGTGGTTATATAGTTTTCAGTAAACACTTTCACAGAAGGGACCTCTTGTTTGCCTTTCATGCCTTCAAGCAATAAAAATCTCAGTTTCTTCAGAGAGGAAGATGAGAGAAAGAAGCAACACAGATTGATTTGTTTTTTTAAACAAAGATGACACTAATATTAATGATGAATTAAAAATCACAAGAAGATTCTGTAAGACTCTGTTGCTACTGTTTTGTGTTCAGATTGATTATATTTTTTTAAAACAAAGATGACACTAATACTTATATTAATGATGAATTAAAAATCACAAGAAGATTCTGTAAGACTCTGTTGCTACTGTTTTGTGTTCTGTCCAATCCCTACAGACTCAAGTGTGCATCAGAACACCCCATGTATGGCAAAAATTCAGGAGGCAGCTGCAAAAGCCACAGTCAGACATGTTTTTAAGATTCCAGGATAATTTTTCACTATACTTTGGGCATTATATTTAACTAGTCAAGATTAGGACCTTACAAAAATGGAGCCTGAATTGATGTCTCCCATTCAATTTACCCATTATTGGAAAAAAATGCAGTGGAGGAGCTCTGCTCTGGAGGTGCAGCTGTAGCTGTGTGGTTGTCATAGTTACAACCTGAGCCAGCCTTTAGCTAGCAGTGTTATCTAAATGGTCTCTGTGAAATGCTATCCTCTGGTGTAACAGACCTGGTGTAAAACCTCTATGACTACAGTGTGTCACTCACAATCACAATTTATGGGTTGCACTGCAGTAAATGCATTATCTGAGAGCCTGAAAACAACTGATCAGCAAAATCAGCTTAAAAACCCTGTGCCACTTACACTGTGTGGAAAGAGGAGTGAATGTTCACAAAGCCAACTCAACAACCACCTTCAAATCCCTCTGACCAATGTCCTTTACTATAGCACCTAACAAAATCCCCTAGATACACATCATTTGTGTGCTGATTCCACCAGTACTGACTGACAGGTTTCTGGTATTCTTCTGTCTAGCTGTCAGGGTCCATCTGTTGATTCAAGCCTTTATATACAGACACAGAGGCACCCTCCACAGAAGAGACCACCTCATTCTTTTCCTAGAACAGCTGCTATAGGAGGATCCTGGCTCCACAACCAAGAATTCCAATCACAACACTATGAGAAATGAATTATTAATAGGGATTAAAAGACAAGCATTTATAGTTGGCAGTCCCTTTCATTATTATTAGCAATTATTGGTGTGTATTTATTTTATAAATAAACATAGGAGATAATGTTCTGGGTATCTGCTACTGATTACCTAGCCAGGATGTAAGCACTGATGAGTTATTCTGTAGGTAATCAGGAGAAAACTTCTGGATTGGTGTTTTTTTGGGGTTTTAGTGAGGCTTTTGATGCTGTCTCTTGCAGCATGCTTCTGGACAAGTTGCCCAACTGTGAGATGAGTGGGTTCATAGTGCACTGGATGAAGAACTGGCTGAAGGGCAGGGTTCAAAGAGTTCTGAGTGGATGGGGCCACATTTAGCTGGCACCAGTCACCAGGCAAGACTGCCACCTCAGTATTTTCTGTGCACACTTTCTGTGCACCTCTGAGCTGCTAAGGCTGGGATGAGATGTTTCCATTCATCATTATCTTTCTTTACAATTCAATAAAAGCAGGATCAAGTAATAAGAACTTTCTGTTAGGTTTATGTTTTGTACTGCTGTTTGCTGGATTTGCCCAACACTCATGTACAAGCTGGAGATCCCTCATGAGGTTTAAGAAGCTGACATAACTCTCACACTGATGAAGACAGCAGAAGGTGGTTGTAAGAAATACACTGAGAAGGTGACAGTCACATCATCTGTTATGGTTGCACTAGCAGCAAAGTGTGACACAAAGCTTGAAGAGGAAGAGCAGCAACAGCCCAGATCTGTGAAGGTATCCTGCCCACCCGTGGGAAATCAAGCACAAGAGTATTTCAGGGGCTGGAATGTTGAATGGTTTTTTGGGGATAAAAAGCCACATTCCCCTGCTGCTCTCATCTCCCTTTGCTATGTGAAAGCTATGTGGATTTTGCTATGCTTGCTCCTCCTCAAGTGTAGGCTTATCTCTGCAGCTTGCAGCACACTTTCCATGAAGTTTTGCTACACGTGGGGCTCTCCCCAGGAGAATCCCCAGCAGGACTGCTCAGCTCTGCTGCTCACCGTTCTATGCACTCCTTCACAACAGCAAAGTTGCCATCCCCAATCACCTTCCCCACTTTGTACTTCTCCAGAATGGTCGATGCCCCCGAGCACTTGTTTCCATTCACACCTGCAAAAAAAGCCAGGTCAAGAGTGGAGCCAGAAGAGAAG